GAGATTATTTTTACACCCAGGTGGCCTACTGTGAATATATAACCTTTTTAATCATATGCATACTAGGAAATAACCTAAGGTGTTCAGCCACCTACCCTCCCTAATTATCCCTCTGGTGGTTTTTATTGCCTGTAACAAAATTCTACCCTACCTATTCCCAACACCCCAGCCCCAGCTCCCAAAGGTGTTTTCAATAGATCTTCTAGGACCCTAATGCTCCTAAGCTTTTTCCAGGGGCCCTGTGCCAGATGAGCCCATGGGCCCAGATTCTGCTTGAAATCTTTGGGCCTCTTCAACCAGACTATCTGGCTTGGCCATGCTACTGCCAATAACACATGACATACTAAGCATTTGTGATTTGGAAGAGCAACTTCCTCCCTCCACAAACTCAGACCTCAGAGACTTTTCATAGCATCATAGCTGCTGAGCTGGAAGACACTTTAGCAATCATCTTTTTCATTTTACAGCTGAGTAAACTGAGGCCCAGAAAGATTAATCAATTTATTCAAGGTCACACAGGTTAATAAGTGGAAGAGCCAGGATTTGGACTCAACTCTTCTTATTTCCAATCTAGTGTGTGACACATAGTAAATCTTGATAAATGCTTACTGATTGATCTATCCATTGATTGGTAAAAGAGACCTAAGGACACCTAGTTCAATCTATTTTAATCTAACCCAACTCATCCCTGAACAAGAATCCCACTCCAGTCTTTCTTGCAGATTTCTAGTGAGCAAAGGCTCCTAAAACATGCCATTCACCATACCCTAACCATTAGGAAGTTCTTTTTTTTTCTTATATTGAGCCTAAATCGTACTTTTTTGCCAGCTTCCTAGCTCTGCCCTGTGGGTCCAAGCAGAACAAGCAAGTCTTCTCCCTTTTCCTTCAAATACTTGAAGACAGCTGAGAATACCCTAAGTCTTCTTTTCTCCAGGCCTAAGCATCCCTACTTCCTAAAACTAATCTTTATTTGGGAGGAACTCAAGCCCTTCATTCACTGTCCTTGTTGCTGTCTTATGGGCATTTCTCCAGCCTATTATTGTCCTCTCCAAAACCGTGATCTCTATGTACAGTGGAGCTTCTCACCTCATTCCTTCTGGAAGCTAGGCCTCTCCTAAAAACCCAAGTTTGCAATGGCTTTTGGGGGCCACAGTAACACACTGTTCACACACACACACACACACACACACACACATTATTGTTTCTGATAACTAAAATCCCCAGGTTTTTCTTTCAGATAAACTGCAACTTAACCATGCCTCCTCTATTTTATACTTGTAAAATGATTTTTTTCCTTGTAACTCAAGCATAATACTTTATATTTATCCCTATTAAATGTCATCTTATTCCATTCAGACCACCATCCTCACGTGCTAAGACCCTTTTGGACCCTGATTCTGCCATCGAACACATTAACTGTTTCTCCTTGATTTGGGGCATCTAGAAATGTGATCACTGTGTCTTCTATTCCCCTATCCAAGTTGCTAAAAATGTGATTTGGCACAGGGACAAACATAGATCTTCGGAGAACTCTATCAGACACCTTCTTTCTCAATGACATCAAACTATTCAATGAGTATTCTTTGGATCTGACTCCTCATCCAGTATAAAATCAGTATTCTGCAAAAATAAAACTGACAATTCATGCTGGTGACAACCTGGGTGTAAATCCTATATCTGACTCTTACTTAGCTGAGTGACATCGGGAAAATCACTTAACTGCTGCGTGCCTCAAAAAACTCCCTAGAATTAAAATACAATGTAAAAAAAAAAAAAAACAGTAGAAAGGCATTTCTCTACAGGGAGCTCTCCTAAGTTGATAAAACAACAGGTCCTTCATGTATCTTCAATAATGATGATCCTAAGTTATTTGTTAACCCTATATTGCGTTCTGTATCAGAAAAGAATGACTAAATTATCATGAGTGTAGTTGTAGTGGGCCAGTGTGGTATAGTTTAAAGAGTTCCCACTCTGGGCCTCAGTTTCCTCATCTGTAAAATATCAGTCATAATACTTATATTAAGTACTTCTCATACGGGTTGTTGTGAGCAAAGTGTTCTGTAAATCTTAAAATATTATATAACTGTGAATCATTATTCTAGTTTTGATTTCCCTTTACTGTGTCCTAATTCTTTGACAGTGAGTAATCTCAGTTTGGTAACAAGAGGAGAAGACTGGACTGGACTGCGTTCAGGAAACAGCAGAATTCCTCTAATAAGTCTATGCTCTCCATGAAAGCAAAGGCACATCTTTTTCATATTAATGTTCTACCTGTGCTGTTGTTTGGTTGTGAGACACGGAATATAACAGCTTCCAAAATATTGAAAAGAAATATAATTCAAGAGGCAATGAAGAGTCAGGGTCATGGTAGGTGGAAAGAAGCTGTAACATGTAACTACTGAGGAGTTCTGAAGATGTCATTAAGGGTTTGTATAATCACAAAAAAAGATAGGCTGGTCACGTGGCAAGGGTGAGAGATCACAGCTGGGCAGCCAGAGTACTGTACTGGTAAGAAGTTTACAAAGTTAAGAGAAAGTGAGAAAGACTTCCAGCATTTTCAGTGGACCCCTCAATGTCAAATTTTAAAAAGGATATGGACGGGGCAGCTAGGTGGCGCAGTGGATAGAGCTCTGGCCTTGGAGTCAGAAGGACCTGAGTTCAACTCTGGCCTCAGACACTTAACCCTTACTAGCTGTGTGACCCTGGGCAAGCCATTTAACCCCAAATGCCTCACCAAAAAGGAAAAATAAAAAAAAATAAAAAGGACGTAGCCAAGTAGTACAGGATAGATGGCTTCCAATCTGTATCACTAGAGGGAACTTCCAAATTGATAAAATCACAGGTCCATTTGAGTATGTAAACATATGTGCTAAATATGATAAGCATGATGAAACAGGAAATTGGATTGGTCAAATACCCTATTTTCTATCAATTTCAACTTGATTCAGGTGGACGAAATATGTAATAATTAGGCATTTAACTTTTATTTTAATTTTTAAGAGAACTACCAAGGCAAAAGAAAAAAGAAATCTATTAATCTACTGCACCACATTTTGAAAAATAACAGTAATTTTCCCAATGCCGTGTTGAAGTATGCTTTGGCAAATGCTGACTTGGGAAAATGCACCTAGTATAGCAAAAAAAAAAAGTCATCAAAGCTTCTTGAAAAAGAATGAAATATCTACTTCTGAGGCTGCAGAGATATGCACAAAGTTTTGATTCAGATCAAGCAAAGAGAATTTTTAGATTAGTGTAATTCTCTCCTCGGCATGTTCAGAATTGCATTTCAAACAATAACAGCTTTATTAATTTCAAACCAAGCTGTCATCCAAATGTAAAGAACATACCCTTTGTTTAGGCTGGCTTACAGTACTTATCAACTCTTTCTCCAATAGAGAAAGGCTTTTTCATTCTGTGTAAAATGAGTGAGGAGGCTTTTCTAAAGTGTCCTGAAACAATTCACTCTTGGCCTGACACCAGACAGAGAAAATGGGAGTCAGCTAAAAAGAATTTTTCATAAACTTAAGAAAGATTGAAAATGACATGGGACTAATGAAATTTCAACTTTAACCAGAATATTTCCTTCAAAAAGTATTGTATTTGCAGTTCTTTGTTCTGTGTGCAGATGGATAGCTGAAGTGATTCTCCATGGGAAGGAAGGGGGGGGCGAGGAGAAGGTTGAAGGGGAGAAGGGTCTCTTCAAGCAAATTTGCTTAGCAGCTAAATGCGTATCTTTTGTTTATTTTTTTTCTTGGGAACTTCACAACATTTTACGGAGAGGAACCTGTAATAAGCATTTTAAGATAAATTTTCTTTATAGAATGTTCCTTTAATTAGTTCCATTTCTTGAAATGCTCCATAATATTTGTCAGACAGAAGGTTTTTATGTACAATAAGACCTAATTAGCATATGCATCTTAGAGACAGCTTACTACTTTGTAAGTAAAAAGAACCAATCACAACAAAAAGTTATTTGTTTACTTGTTCTACCTGTCTGACACACCTTATAAAGGCAATTGGTTCAAATTATAGTTCAATTTGGAGAGGTTTATGGACAATTTTAACAGCATATTAAAAATTTAGAAGACATACCCCAATATTATGAACCTAATGTTATGGTAGAATGCAGCTATACTATCACAAGAAATATAAAACAAATTAACCACTAGATAATTAAACATAAAATAGATTAAACCCTCACCAATAGAATTCAGACTTTTGGGTTGTACTTCAATGAAGTAAGACAAACATAACTTTTAAAACTGTGATTTTTCTAGAGTACTATTTTACCAAAAGCAACTAATTTGAGGCTCCTTTTTGCTTAGGTTTTCTCCACTGATGAAAAAAAAAGCATAACTAACTACAAAAGCAAAACATTATTCTACTTCAAAACTATTAGGAGAAGAGAACTAAGAAAACTAATAAGATATCTGAGTTAATTTTCAGAGCTAAAACAATTTCTGAAAAGTTCTGCACAAATTAAATAAAAGGTAAACTTCAGTCTTCATTCATTTCTGATGTTAAGGGTCCAGTGAAAACAGTAGAGAAGTTGAGTTCTCTTTAACAAAAATCACTCACACAAAACCTAACCAAAAATTTTTTAAAGTCACAAAAGCTGATCAACAAGCAGGAGTGAAAGGAGAAAACATACTGTTTGTGAACTTTAAAAGAAAGAGCAAAACATTTTCTTATTTTGTGAAACCACAATAACTTCAAATATCTAACATACACATGCCAGGCATGTGCACTAAATTGAAAAGAAATAACAAAAAAAATTAACAAAATTTAACAATGGTATAAAAAAATTGGCAGTCAACTATGATATGACCATAGAGGTATTTGTCACTGCCAAGGGTCTCACAGAATCACATCTTGTCCTGATCATACCTGCTTGCCAGTACAAAGTAGGCTGCTGACCAATTATGGAGTGTTTATCTATACAGTGGTACCTTTGTTCTCCAACAATGTCAGATTGCAAATGTCCTAGAACACATATTTACCTGGAGGATTCTTGGCAGGATCATTGTGGCTTGGACTTCCTGATTGTCCAGAATCTGTAAAGAAATCAGAGAAAATGTTTTCTTTTTAATTTGTTTTTTAAAGAATTTCATAATCCTTATGAGACCTTTTAAAAATTAACAAAGGGCCAAAGGGTAACAATGGTTAGGAACATAAATGAATTAAGTATAATTTCCTAAGCCTTTCCTGAAGAAACATTTGGATTAAAAAAAAAAAGATGAATAAACATGCACATCTCTTATGCTGAAAAAAAATAAGTATAGTATGGCTGAGGTACAACAAGTTCATTAAAATAAAAGGTCTGGATTTGGAAATAGAAGATACCTACAACATTGGGACAGTATCCTAGATTGTAATAGTATTTTGAAATTAAACAGACATAATGTTTGAGTGTAAATCTGATTATAAACAAACATACCAACCTCCTCCAATAGCAAATTTTCTTTTTACTGGCCGAAATATTCAACAGAGTTAACTTCTCCAGTATTGTGTATATATGTGTGCATATGTTGTGCACATGCAAATATTCTCCCTACCCACTTACCCTAGGCCCATATTTCTCTATATATCATAATAAACATCACCCAGCATCTTATTCATTCATTTATTCATTTGCTAAACACTTATTAAATACTTCCTGTGTACAAAACACATGCTAGGTGCTTTGTACATAGCAGCAAGTACAGAGTTTAGATGTAATATGGTTACCATCCTCATAGTCAATCAGTCAACAGTCACTCAACAAACATCTAGCAATAAAGATCTTAATCTAGTAGGGGGATAAGACATAAATTCAGAAACAAGAATAAGTGCTATTACATGGTAAGTGTAAACCAAAGTGTCATGTGATACCTGAGAGGGAAATTCCTTGCTAGTCAGAGGAACAGGGCAGGCTACATAGAGAAGGTGGAATTGCAGGTGAACTTAAAAGAAGGGATAGATCATTGACAGATGAAAGAAGGAGCAGGATAAATTGATCAGCAATTGATCAGTGACACCAAGAATAATGTAAATTACTAAGGAGTAGCTTTCTCCTGTGGAGAAGGAAATCAATTAATCAATTGAATTTCCATCCATGATGGAGTGACAGATGGACTTGTAGAAAAAAAGCAATCAATGAAACATCTGAATTCCACATTCCAGCATATCTTCTCTTCAATAATATAGGGAAAAGTGATGTAATTCATATACTGGTGGGAGTACTGGTGGGAGCCCCCCCCCCACTGTTCATTCTTTTATATCACATATCTCCCACCATTATCCATGTGGTCCACACTCTAATGGCACACACTCACTCACAGGTTGCCCTTTAATTGTTTACCAATTTTGTCTAGTACTCTTGGTTTGTCACCATCATTAAATCACATAGTCCTCAAGGAAATGAGAGTTCTACCTCTTTCTTTTGTAGTTGCAATTATGTGTTTTCGAGTGTTGTGAGTGTAGGAAGTGACTGATAAATGCTTGTTGAACAAATGGTTAAGAATCAGAGCCCTCATTTGCTTGTCACTGATGGATTTCATCAAAAAATAATGACAGCTCATACTTCTATAAAAAACATTTCATTTACAATATCTTTCTACTTTGTGAGGTAGAAAATGCCAATATTATTGTGCCTACTTTAGAAATGGGGAAACTGAGGCCATGAGAGGCTACAATATCTTATCTACCCATGTTTTGCCAAGGTGGGCCATGTCAGAGGAAGGAATCAAACCCATGTCTCTGGACTCATAGTCGCACACTCTTTCCACTATATTATACAATCAGAGAACTAGGTATCCTCTGTTACTGTACAATACAGGTTGTCTCAAAAGTCTTAATGCACTTTTCATCTTTAATAGCTTGAAACTGCAGTAAGACTTTGGGGACACCCTGTACATTCAATAGTATTTTTACTTGGGGGACCAGATCTGTGATTTCACTGGTGTAGAAAAGTGAGGACACTCCCTATCTCAATTCAGATCTTCACCAGCTCTACAACTTAACAGTCTTGGTTGCCAAGAGCAGAAAGATTAATTGACTTGCCCAGAGTCACCCAGCCCGCATTGTCAGATTCAGGACCTTACCTCGAGTTACCCTATTCCACTACTCCACACTGTTTCTCATTGGCTAGTACAATACAGTGGAAAGAGAAGAGGGTAGGGAGAAAGAGAGGGAGAGAAGAGGAGGAGGAAAGGATAGGAGGGGAGAGAAGAGGGAAAAGGAGAGGGAGAAAGAGAGAAGGAAAGAGAGAGAAAGAGAGGAGAGAGAAAGGGGGGTGAAGTAACCCTTTAAAGGGGAATGAAATAGTTGAAGGCTGTTGTTATTCATTCATACATATATTTTTGTCTGCTATGTAAAAGACATTTTCCTAAATGCCAAGCAGGATATAATGTATAACAGTCCCTGTCCTCATGGCACTTATCATTTAATAAGATTTCACATTAGGATTCAAGTTGTGGGAACAATCCCATTGTGGGAATAGCAAGTCTATACGATACAACATATTATGAAATAATATTTACTAAATGACTACTGTGTATAGAGCACTATGGCAGGAACTGTAAGAGCTATAAATGTTAGATAAAAAATTCCCTGCCTTCATGGAAATTAGTCTAGTAGAAGATAATATAGCACACAATCATGTGATGAGTCTATTAGAAAGTTACAAAACAATATACCATGAAGGGGAGGGGTCATTATGAACTCACAGATCAAGGAAAGGATGATAGAGGAAGTGGAATTTGACTTGGGTTTTAAAGGATAGATAGAAATAGATAGGCAAATTGGGGAAGGGTGGGCAATCCTGTTATAGGGATCTGTGTGAACAAAGGTATGAAAGCATTAGAGAAGATTCTCTTAGCATGAATTTTTGACCCCCACTTTTAACTTGTACAACAAAAATGGCCTCATAATTTTGTGCAGTTGAAAAACATGATGGGGTTGGGAGGGAGTATTATGGAAGGAAGATCTTATCACTCCATTCCTCAGTGAATACCGAGCTATTACCCTCCTGAAAATGAAGAAATAAACTCCCAACACCCCTTATGTATGACAACCACACAAATCTCTTCTCAGGAAACACCAGTCTATGTTACTGCCAGTTTCTATTTTCACCTTCAAATAGTATGAACCATTTCCTGAACTGAAAAAAAAGGGGAACTACTAGAAACCACAAGTATTTGAAGGCAATAGACAATTGAATTCCAAGACTTGAGTCAAATCTTTGACTTGAATAAAAAGATTCCTTCCCAAAACTCTTTGATGGTGCTGACAAGTATATTTTTAATTATCAATTATAATTACTGATTAAAGTTTCTTGTTATCCATTCTTACCTTGAAAAGCAGATACATTAAACATTTTATATTCCTTTCCCTGAAAAAAATATGGCAGTACGATGATGATGATGATGATGGTGATGATGAATAGGAATTCATTAAGTGAAGTAAAGGAGAAAGAACATTTGAGGCATAGGAAGCAAAGGTACAGAGGAACAAAATGGTAACTAGCCCTAATTGTACCTGGAGCAAATTCAACTGAGGGGAGGGAGAGCAGATCCTGACAGCAGCTGCTGGAGACAGTTGAATTAGTTGTAGAGACAGGACCGGCAGTCTACAGCTATCACTGTGGCAGAAGTACTTCCCTCACCCCAAGACACCAGTGACCCATGAGTAATCCCTATTGCTCTCATGCTAACTGGAGGAAATGCAATGAGGTATGAAGTCTCTTAAGTAAAGGAGGGAGAAGTTTCCAGAGGACGGGTTGGTCAACAGTGTCAAATGCTGAAAAGGGACCAAGAAGATAAACCTTTGGATCTGGTTATCATAAGGTCACTAATGACTTTCAGTAGAGTGGTTGGGCAGAATCCAGACGATACAGAATTGAGGTGGTTAAGTATTTATTTTTCCCAGATGTTTAGTAGTGAAATCAGTTAATAATTTAATTGATAAAATATTTAATAAAGCCTACTAGTGTAAGAAGAAGAGCTACAAGACTGATGAACAGAGTAGAAAGGTCAAGTGAGTTATTTGTTTGCTTAAAAAAAATTGTTGTGACCTAAGTATATTTGTGGGGTAGCTAGGTGAAGCAGTAGATAGAGTACCAGGTCTAGAGTCAAGAAGACTGATCTTCCTGAGTTCAAATCTGACCTCAGGCACTTACTAGCTAGCTGTGTGTCCCTGGGCAAGTCACTTAACCCTGTTTGCCTCAGTTTTCTCATCTGTAAAATGAGCTGGAGAAGGAAATGGCAAACCATTCCAGTATCTTTGCCAAGAAAACCCCAAATGGGGTCACAAAGAAATGAAATTGATTGAACAACAATAATAACAACAGAGTACATTTGTAAGCAAATGGGAAGAAGCCAGTGGGGAGAAAGAAATTGACCATGCATAAAAGATGTTCTATGGAGCAATGTCATAAAGGAAGCAGGAAGGGAGAGGATGGATGGGATCAAAGGCACAGATAGAGGGATTAGCCTTAACAAACCACATTCTTCTGTGTCTGGGTGAAAGGAAAAAGTAGATGATAATGCTAAGAAGTTTTGAGAGCAGTACCAGAAGATTTGAGGAAACTCCCATAGGAAAGCCTTAATCTTCCCAGTGAATTAAGAAGCAAAATCATCTGCTATGAATTGGAAGGTTGAGGGGCTCAAAAGAACAGAAACATTTTGTAGTATCTTTGGGGAATTAGATAAAAGACCCCCTAAGTCTCATAAGTTTGCCTTGCAAACTTGGAGAATTATAAAGAGCTAGCTAGGATTATGCGTTGTAAACCTGTTGTGGTGAAATCGGTTTAATTTCATGTATCTCTGGCAATATTGAGCAGTCCAGAAGCAGAAGCTGAGATGTCCGATGGTAGAGGTGACCCAGGGTTGAGGTTTATTAGTAGGACAGCCGCAGGCTAAGAGGCAAGGAATTTTACAATACTGGTGAATTATTAAAATGGCAAGGCGGAAGTCTACTTAGTCTACTAAGAGAATAGGGGAGGCCAAAGAACCAAAGACAGAGAGCAAATTAGCATAAAAATAACAGGGGAAGATAGCAGGGGAGGAGGTTACAG